GGTGTTTTTGAAGAAAAATTAGAAACAAGGGAGTCAAAGTACAAATAAAAAAAGTTTGGCCACGTAGAACTGCCAAGTCAGCAACTTCAACGAACCAGAGGGCATTGCGTGGCAAGGCACGCTGACGTAGGTGTCATGTGGGTGGCCACGCTGGTGATCCATGTGCCCCCCGATCGAATGGTCCAAGATCGATCCCGTGCGTATGGACGGTTCGGATCTATTTCTCCTTTAGGCGCGATCGAACGATCAAGATCAAACGCGATGAACGATTTAGATTCGTTTCCTCCTTAGGCGCGATCGGACGGACGAGATTGATTGCAATGAGCGTAAATTAATGTGGGATGAGTATAAATATTTCGTATCACACGAAATTCGAATCCTAGCCGCCAGCCCCCCTCACCCCCCACCTCACCGGAGAAAAAGGACCAAATACCGAAGAAGGAAACTGACCGTCTCTGCATCGGAGCCACCTATGATTGCCAAAAAAGGTAAAAATTATCTTATCCACTCAGAATTCAATTCCAAGCACCCATGTGGCTATATCGGAGCAAAGCGAACGACAAGTGAGCAGAAAACCACGGGCAAAGCCCAGCGGGACTGCCACGGCCCAAAACCCGCAACTTCCTCCGATGAGCCCCTTCTCGATTCCCGTTTTATGAAATTTTTTCACTGTTGTGTTCATTATTCTATTTTCTATAGATTGACCAAAGGAGGAATCCCAACCGCAAAGGAAATAGTGGACGGATTGGGTATATAGGAAACCTTACCGTGGCTTGAAATTGAATATCCCACCATTGGTAGGTTTTAGTTTTCTGATTTTTTCGAGCAACCGAAACTCCCTAACTTGTTTTTCCGTAGAAATGTGTAAAGTCGGCCAAAACTTGCCAAAACGGTCAAAAACGACCAGGTCGAGGCAAACCACCATTGCGGGTGGCGGTGTCATCGCCGGAACACAGTGACAGTGCTGTGCCGGAATTGCAATATTGGTCGAAAGGGGCCCTGGGTCTAATTTGGGATTTTTTGGGACACGTGCAGGTACCAGTAGTGCGTTTCAGTTTCCCAGAAAAAATTCAGGGAAAATTAGGGACAGCCTGTAGGCGCACTGTAGAACTGTATTCAGACCCCAAAACAAGGACCCCTCACCCTATTTCCTATCACGGTATTAAAGTTCAATAAATGATAAAACGGTATTTCATGAATCAATAGATGTGTGAAATTGTTTAAGGTCGCTAATGGAGCCCGAGTCTGGTGTGTTTGTCGGTCAGCTATTGTTTGGCCTATTTTACAGTTTTTAAATGCAGTATGAGGTCTGATATTTTTATTTCATAGTTTCGTGTGCATATATCACTGTTTTATTGATTATGGATTGAATGACTGAGAACCCGATGTTGTATGTTGTCTTGTTTGGCATAAATTACTGGTTTGCTTATTTGTGTGTGATTTGATGATGCTGACTGAGGAAAAAGGGGAATGAAATATTAAGTAAATTGATAATTGTATGATGTGGTCAGCCTGACTAGATATCTTAGGAGATGGTGGACGGACCGGGTCCGTAGGGAACCCTAGCGGGATTGTGGTCTCTCATACCGGACGGGGTATGGAGACCTTATGTGTTTTAGCGCCCATACCGGACGGGGTGTGGGGACGGCCCGTTTCACCCTCATACCAGACGGGGTATTGAGGTTTATTGTTTTGGTGCCCATACCGGACGGGGTATGGAGACGGCCCTGGAATCTGATTACAAGTCTTAAGGGTTCACGGGCAGCGGGACCCCTATGGATCCCCATGGATACTAATAGGCTGGTAAATGAGGAAAAATATGTTGTGTAACGATTGAAATGCAAAAGGTGTGATAAGCATTATGTTATACAATTCATATGATTTCATGATGATGATAATGTTATTGCTTTCGTATCTTATTTTATGAACTTCATCGAGGTAAATTAATAGTAAAGGATTTTATTATTGATAAAAGAATTTGTTGTAAATTATGCTCCATTGGTCTTTTTGTGTTTTCTACCCACTTTTACCTCCGTGACGGTGAGATAGTGTGATGTCTTTACTGGGCTGGTGTAGCTCATTCCTTATTTAATTATTTCAGATCAGAAAGACATTGTTCCCGACCCCGTTCCGCAGGAAGACGGCAAAGGGGACGCTTGAAGACTCCGTAGTTATATTTATAGCTTTTATTTTCGAGTTTCTCTTTTAGTTAGTTTGTTCTTTTATACTTTGAGCACTTTTTTAGTTTTGGTGTAAGGGATGTTAATCAAAGTTTTTATTACGCTTCCGCATCTGACCTTTTTAATACACATATTTCATTTTAAAATTTCAGGGTCGTTACAGTAATATCCTTGCTAGGTTAATATACCTCACTCTTTCATTAACTATTTCAGATCAAGAAGACTAAGATTCAGATCCCGATCAGTAAGAGGGTTGTGAGTAATTCACCACCCGGACTCTCTTCAAGTGCTAGTGAAGGTTGTCCTATAATGCTTATTTATTCGCTCTTTTTTTTTATTTTTTTAATTACTATTTATCTTTTAAAATGAACATTCTCGTATCCCAATTTGACATACTAAATTATTGTGCAAGGAATGTAAACTTTAACTCTATTATTCGTTTCCGCATTTAAATTATAAATTCATTTCCTTTAAGGTTCCGAACTTTTACAATTTCTCTCTATTTGAGCAACGAATTAATATGACTAGAAGCAATGATTATTCACCTTTTGTTATTTTACCTTCTTGTTTTTTTTTAAAAAATTCAATTTCTAAATTTATATATTTTATTAATAAGTTAATAAAAATATATTAATTATAACATAATTTTTAATAAAATTACATAAAATTTATAATTTGATTCAAACTCATAATAAGAAAAAAAATCATTAATTTTTCCTTAACAATTTATTCCGCATAACTTCTTTTCATCATTTTAAATTATTCAAACTCAAAATTTGTGACACATATTATAATTTTATGTGAGATAACAAAAATTACTTGGCTCAATCAAAATATTTCTTGTCATGAAACGTTTTTAAGGACTAGTAGTCCCCATAAGTACATAAGTGTAACAAGTGACAAACATAAAATTCAAATAGTTTCTTTTTAATCTGAAAATTCAAGTAATCTTTAATACAATAGGCGAAAAGCTAACTGATCAATTGAGTAAATCCTTCACAAAAAGTATTCATAATTAAACACACAATTCTAGTGGGGATTCGATCGTTATTCTTTACTCATAAAAGGAGAAAAACAAAATGGAAAATCCCAAGAAATTAAAAAGTAAACCATCTAAGGGCAAAGTCTCGAATTAAACAGATAAAAAAATCTCACAAATTACAGACCATTCAGCACACATATCATACATGTGTCTTGTGAAGATGAGATAATTCAAATACAGCTTACAGGGATAAGCTCAAGATGGGTCTTCTTGTGAACAGTGAGACCAGGAGCTTCTTCCATGTCGATATCTTCCTTGCTCATCCCATCTGGTAATTTCCAATCAAATCGATATAAAAGATTAGCAAGTGCAAGCTGCAACAATGTGTTTCCCATGTTGATACCTGGACAACCTCTTCGTCCTCCACCAAATGGCAACAACTCAAAGTGCTGCCCTTTGAAATCAATCGAGCTTCCTGCAAATCTCTCTGGCAAAAACTCTTCTGGGTCCTTCCAAACCTTGGGATCTCTTCCAATGGCCCATGCGTTAACCTGGACTCGGGTCTTTGGGTATATGTTGTAACCATTGATTTTGAATGGGGAAATGACCTCTCTTGGAATTAGAAGTGGACCTGGTGGGTGAAGTCTCCATGTCTCTTTCACCGCCATGTTTAGATATGCAAGTTTTTCAAGGTCGTCTTCACTCACTTTTCCTTTGTTTCCGACAACTTCTCTAATCTCAGCTTGTACTTTCTTCATCACTCTTGGGTTCCTCATAAGCTCTGTTAACGCCCAGACCATTGTGATTTCTGCAGTGTCAATTCCAGCGATAAATACATCCTGACACAAGTTTAAATTGATTAAATGTTAGTTCATACTAATGTTCAGTAAATTAAGTAGATTGGATAAGAAGAAAAAAGCCATGTATACAAGTATATATATACCATGAGGATTGCTTTGATATGACTTCTGGTGAGAGTAACGGAGCCTTGTTCCTTCTGCTGCTTCTCTATCTTTAACAGCACATCAACAATATCCTCCTTCCCTTCTTCTACCTTCTTTCCCTCATGCTTATCAATTGTTTTTTGCAGAAAAATATCCATTTCCTTGGCGCTCTTCTTTAGCCTGCCATGGAGACCTGTGATCCTATCAACTATCCACCCAACACAAGGAAAGAAATCAGAAGCAGCGAAGCATCCCATAAGCGATGTAGCCTCATTGACCTTCTCCTGAAAGACGCCACTCTCGCATTTATTCTCCTCAAAGCTTCCTCCGAATGCAACCCTCCAAATCACATTCGCCGTGAGAAAAAGCAGCTTCTCGCTTAGATCTACAGGGGATTTAGAAGCAGCAGATTGAGAAACTGATTCAACGAGTGAATCAACCTCTTCCTCTCTGATGAAACGAAAAGACTGAACTCTCTTGTTGCTGAAAAGCTCGAGAACGCTGATTTTTCTCATCTCCCTCCAGTACTCACCGAAAGGAGCAAAAGCTATGTCGAGATAATTGTAAGAGTAATTACCAGTGCCTAACAATTTGGGTCGACTGCAGGTATCGGTATCGTGAACTTTGAGAATCTCTCTTGCAGTTTCGGGAGAGGAGACGACGACTAAGGGCACACTTCCAAGCTTCAATCGGATTACGGGGCCGTATTTCTTGGACATTTGGTACAGAGATTGATGAGCAAGTTTACCCAGTTGATGCATGTTACCAATGAGAGGCAGAGCAGGAGGACCCGGCGGATGTCGCTTCTTTGATTCCATCACTTTCTTCACAGCAACAAGAAAGGAGAGTAGCAGCAAGAGAGGAAGCCATGCAGGGACTGTGAACGGAACCATTGAAACGATGTCGTATGGTAACGTGTGTCTTTGTGAATAAGGAAGTTTTCTTGAATAAAATCAGGAGACTCCGATGACTGTCTTTCTCAATCAGCGCGTGTATTTATAGCCGGAGGTTCTGCATTTCTTCTTTCTTTTTGGGGTATAATGAAAATATTATTTAATATAATGGAAAGTTCAAGTGTAATTGAGTTCCTGCACCTTCCTAATTTCTTTAATTAATCATCATCAAAACGAAAACAAGATTGTCGGCTTCATAATTATTGGCTAATATTTTTATTTGTATTATCAATTTTTAAATAATATTTAATTAAAATGATAGTAGAAGATTCTTGAAATTTCTGTACGTGGCAAACGTGTGCCGGAAACAGCCTGAAGTGGTTTGCATGTGACAGATTAATAGTTAAGATTAATTTAAAGGGTAATTATAATATTTAAGATTAATTAATATTAAACATCGAGTAATAACATTATATATATCCTTGATCCTCTCTTTTGTATTTGACATTATGTAACTTAATTTTTTTAGGAAATCCAATACCACTTTTGCCCATACAATGTGCGCCAATCTTGTAAACCATTCACGTGTTCTCTGCACTTAAAATTTAATTATTCATAAATGTTTTTTTCTGTTTTATTACTATAACTTATTGTGATCAGGTGACATAAGTTCTATTAATATATTGATAAATTAACTTATTAAATTTATAATATTTAATTAAATTTAATAATCTTAAACATTGTAATAATATAAATTATTAATTTAATCTTCTACGTTACCATTTAATTTTTTACCCTATCTTTTATGTCACCATTTTTAATTTTATATTATGATTTTGTTTCTAACATTATAAATTTATTTTAACACATTTAAATTTTTTTTTACTAAAATGAGTTAGGAATACAAATTGTTTGGAGTCAAAGTTTAAAGAACAAAAAAGTATCATTGCAAGTCTCATATTTTTCTTGGTATATATTACCACAATCATTATACCTTTAATAAAATAATTACACAATTATACAAAAATAACTTAAAAAACATAGTACATTTATTTGAGGGTACAACTTTTAAAATGATTTTAAAAAAAAAAACATCTTATCGCAACTATTTTTTTCCTTTAACATTTATTATTATTACACTTGCATTATTTTTGTAACATATATTAATATTTAGCTTATTAAGCTTGATATTTAATTGTTATCTTTCAAGCTCTTTACAAAATAAAATGTAGATAAAACAAAAATAAATTATGTTGTTTATTATCAAATTTCTAGAGTTCCATGGATAATTTTATTAACTTAAGCATCAAATTATAATTAAAAAATTTGAATCTATATTTATAAATAACGAATAATTTACGATTTAAAATAATAATCTAAATTAAATTAACTAGATATATTAGAAAATTACGGACAACTACCTATAAAAACTATGTCATAGTTACCTCCTTTATAAAGTGTGATCAAATGTAATATGGATGCTTCCATTCTTGATGATGGTTTTGTTGATTTTCGGTATAATATTTAGATATTGAAATGCAAATATTATCTTTGTTAGGGATGAGATGTGTGCAAATTCATGGTATGGTAGAGATTCATGAAACTTTGGCTCTTGCATTTTGACTTAAAGATTGCGTGCAAAGTATTTGTATGTACTGTAATGGAGTCGAATGCAAAATAAATATTTTTTTTTATTTATCTCAATTAATCGTAGAACAAAATATATTATATTGATTGTAATTAAATAATTTATGTATTGATTAAAGAAGTTCATAACATACTTGATATCGATATCTATTTTTAAAAATTACCTACAATTTTATCTCTTATTAATAAATTAAATAATTATTGTTAGTTTAATTTATTTTTTAATATTTTTTTTTCTTAAATAAAAGTTTAAACTATACAAAATAAAAATATTTATTTAATAGAAAAAAATTATTTAAAAATTTTAAGAACGTGATAATATTTCATCGCCTTAAGCTCTCAATTAATTTTAATGGTAAAAAATTAAATTAGATACCTCTCAAAGAAAAACATTATTAAATACAAAATTGAAGTGGAAAGAATAAGCAATTGGTCGGTGATCACTTAATTAATTAATTTTTTATTTCTTCGATCATGTGATTAATTTAAATTAGAAAATGGAATAAAGCGGGATGACGAGTGGCCCCCACTCAATTATGGCGTACGGCTTTTTCATGGAGAGCGGGCAGCCGGGCAAGGGGGGGGCAAGCACTTCCCACGCGACTGATTCGCTGAACTAAAACTTTTTTAACACTATTTTTTGGGCGGCCAAAATCCCCATCCACACGAAATATATTAACCCAATTAGACAACAACTTGTCATTTAAAAAAAAAAAAATTAATTGCTTTCTGACAAAAAAATACCATTTAAAATTTAAAATTATACTCTGAAATAAAAAAGAGAAATTATAATTATTCAATTTGTAACTCACTTATGTTAGAGTTTCACAAGAACACGTGAATCTACATTATTGCATTTGGAGGGCATTTTTTTTTTTGGAGTTTATTGTTTTTCTTTTAAATAAGTTTTATCTAAAATGAAAAAAAAAATATATATATATACCATGTTAACAGTAATAGTCCATAAAATACAATTTATATACATCTTTAGTTAAACGGCCTTACACTTTTTTTTTATTCTTTTCGGAAATGTTAAGGAAATAAAGAAATAAAAAGAAGTACTAATATTTCATTAATTGGGAAAATAATTATATACATATTAAGTTCTAAACCGTTTAAGAGAAGAATCATCAATAAGCGCGCTTAAAGATGAGATAATACACTCAAATTGAAGAAATAAATAGAACTTTTTTAAGCATAACAGTGACTTTACTAAGTAGGAGAGATAAAAATTCTTTAGCAATTAATTGAGCATATGTATTTAGACGCACAAGAGTTTATTATATCTCCTTATTTATTATAGTTGAATTTGAAAATATTAAAATTAAAAAATAAATATCCGAAACATATGTTGTATAAATTGCACAGATTATTTATGTTTTTTTCTTAAAAAAAAAAAGCGAGACAGTTAGAAAATAATATTAATAGCTTTTGATATTTTGTTATAATATTTATATATAATGTGATCATAAAAATTACAATGAATGTAGAAAGTGTGCACAAATTTTATATTATTGTCAAACATTTTAGAACAATACTACATAGTCTTTCCTCAAACTTATTTACTGGCGATAAATGATTTATCAACATTAGTTGTCCTTAAATTTAGGCAAAAAAACTTATCGAAACTCATTAAAAATAATATGATATACTTTATTTTGTAATAGTAAGTTAAGTTCATTAACTTTCCTATATGTAAATTTATAAAAAATATAGATAAATATAAAGTTACTCAGTTTTTTTCATAAAAATTTAACTTTGATAAAATATATACTTATCAGTTATTGATTTTGTACAAGACTAACTAATTCTCATTTGAATTGAAAGATTTTTTTAGAGATATATTTTAAAATTTAGAACCTAAGTGCCGAACAAATTTAAATAACTTTTATCTAGTTTAAAAATATAACCATTAATAAAATTAAATTTATTCTTCACTAACAAGATAATTATCTTGGTACAAATTCAATACGTGCAGTTATCTTCAAATTAAATACTACGAAAGCAAAACGAATTTCAGATTATGAGAGTAATGCAAGAAGTAAAGAATTTTAAATTGAGGATTTCCATGAAGAGGATGAGATTAAAGAGACAAAAATTGAAGAATTTTAGAAACGGAAATAAATTTTAAAGAAAAATAGAAAAAAGAAGTTTTGTGAGTTTAACAGAAAAAATAATATTACAATACCATATTAGGGAAGCAAAGAAATAAAAAAAAAATGATTAATATTTTATCAATTGAAAAAATAAGCACGTAATTAGTTTTATATATATATATATTAAGGAATAGTAACCAAGTCAATTATAATTAAACTAAAGCACCAAACTAACTTAAATAGGAAAAGAGATGGTGTGAACCTAATTACTTCTTCACGTGAATTTTTTATAATATAATAATATTTTCTAATCTTGAATAAAAGGGCTTTTAAATTAAAGGAAAAAGAAAAAAAAAAAAAAAAAACGTGATATGAATTATTTTATTTTTTTCACATCGAATTCAATATGATTTCATCCCTTTCCTTTTTGCTTAGATTTGCTTAGATTTGCTTTAGAAGAATCCAGACCTCTGTGAATGGCTGGTGACATACGCATTTACGTCATTCTTCATCTTTTAGAAAAAGCCAAACCGACAACTCCCTTTGACGCGCCGCACAGCTCCGACATTATGGTCGCCATTTGCTTCTTCCGCACTTTCCTAATTCATAACACTTTCCATAATTAATTTTGTTGTAAGTATTAAATTTGCAAGTAAATTTCAAAATAACTCATTTGATACCGTAGAACCCAAATGACAATTTTGTTGGCATATAAAAATGTTCAATAATTTGATTATTTATTTCTTGATTGATCTGACTAAAGAAAATTAAAAATATAAACGTGAATTCGGACTTAAAATGTAAATTATTCATTCTAATTTGAATTATTATGTATTTTATTAAATTAAAAAATTAAAACAAAAAGTTAAAATATGCTTAAAAATAGAATAAACCATCCTAGTATTTGACTTGTGAGCCTCAGGGTGGCGAATCAACTACTTTTTAGAAAATAAAAGAAATTTTATTTTTTTGAAAAAATTTATGACGTGTTTATTATTACGTCGCTTAATAATTTATGTTTTTATTTAATTTAAACAAATTAAAAGGCGTCTCCTTGTACTCGTCAATTTTTGAGGCTTTTTTTTTTTTTTTTTTTCTCTTCTCTAAATTAACCCATCCTTCATTATTGAATGCTTTTGGTGTTGCAGAGAGGCTGCCAAAAAACAAAGGGGCAAATCTATGGATAAGATTTGCTGCTTTATTTTTTAAAATAAACTATTAATATATTTTAGTTTTCTCAGTTGCAATTGTATTTATTTCTGGCTTTTAGTATCTGTAAGGTTTAAACTGTAATTTAATTCAACCTATTGGATTTTTAATAAAAATATCGAGAAGTTTAGTTGTGAGTTTTGGAACATCCAATAAAAATTTTATACACTTGCTAAAAAAAGCCTACAGATTCTCGTCTTTTGGCATTCCCACGAACTCAACTTGTCGGTCTAAAAAAAAAGTAAACCGAAACAGGAAACTATTTCAAGTGTCCAACACGAGTCTCCAGGCCAGTTTCCTATCTCGTCCGCCGTCATCGTGGCATTATAGATGAATCAATTATTATTCCACTCATAATTCAAATATCAACGGATAGTTAATAATTTTAAACTCGAAACAAATTAAATCCTAATTACTCACGCATGTACCCATCAATTTCTTATGTCCCCAAATAATTCACATACCGCATTTCTCATGCCTGTGATATTAAATTAATCACTCAATGCCCCAGCACATAAAACTTATGAATCAATTATAATTGAAAACGTCTCATTTTTTTACTAAAAAAAGAAAAAATAAATTATATGTCCGATCGAATTCTTTTTCCGTAATCAAATTTTGTTGGATAATTTGGGCGGAAATATTTTTTTTTTTCTTCCTGTTCGGGCATTGCCACATTGCCTTACCTTGGGATATTTGTTTTAATGGTTGTAATTTTTTGCTTATAGATAATTGAAAAGTCCTATTCTTGTTTAAATATTACATGAACAAATACCAATAACTATAACTTACGAGAATTAGCTTTCACTAATAACTTATTTTGTATTATTTTAATAATTGATTATACAAACCAACATACACATTTATTTAGCAGAACATATGGAAATATAATTGGTCTTAAAGAAACATTAGGATGCAATATCTATATTAGACGATAAATATAAAGACGAAATGTCTATATATATATATATATATATATATATATGGATGATGATACGAGTTTATGGACAATAGTTATAAATAATTGGAACAAGCTTGAGATGTTCCTTCTTATGGGCAGCTAGACCAGTTGTTTCCTCTGTGCTGATATCTTCCTTCTTCACCCCCTGTGGCAATTCCCAATCAAAATAGTACAAGAGATTAGCAAGTGCAAGCTCCACCATAAGTACCGCCAAGTATACACCGGGACAACCTCTTCGTCCTCCACCAAATGGCAACAACTCGAAATTCTGCCCCTTGAAATCAATGGAGCTATCTTCGAACCTTTCTGGAATGAATTCCTCAGGGTCTTTCCAGATATTAGGGTCCCGTCCAATCGCCCATATGTTGACCTGGATTTGAATTTTTGGGTATATGGTGTACCCGTTGATCTTAAATTCAGACATGGCCTCTCTTGGAAGTAGAAATGGACCTGGAGGATGTAGTCTGAGAGTTTCTTTCACCACTAATTGCAAGTATTCAAGCTGATCTAATTCCTCTTCATGGACTTTCCCTTTGTTTCCAATCTTCTCTCTAATTTCAGCTTGGACTTTCTTCATCACTTTGGGGTTTCTACTCAGTTCAGTCATGGCCCAAATCACGGTAAGTGCAGCACTGTCTGTTCCACCAAGAAATACATCCTGAGGCAGTATACAAGTATTAAAAGCATGAAGATTATAATTATGAATGTACCCATGCATATATCCTTCTAATCATGCTTACTACAATATATATATATATATATTTATTCGAAGCACCATCTCTCTGCAGCCAGATAACTATGAAACAAGATCTAATTATGGTGATAAATTCTTGGATTGACACAATATTTACCCAAGACCGAGATACTTTAGTCATCAAGTTAACCATGTTTCCAAATTGAGTAATTACGTTAAATCGATAAATTGAAGAAATAAATTTGAAGTAACATAAGCGTAAATTATTTAAAAAAGTGATGAGGACTTGCCATAAGGATTGCTTTAATATGTTGTTTGCTGAGTGGCTTATCCCCAATTTCGACTTTCTCCCCCTCCAACTTGAGGAGGACATCAATAATATCTTCTTTTCCCTCCACTTTTTTGCTTTTAAGATGATTATCTATTACTTTTTCGTAGAAAGCATCCAGATCATGGAAGGATTTTTCACGCCTAGCATGCAGACCAGAGAGCCTATCAGCAATCCAACCAATAAAAGGAAAGAAATCTGCAGCAGAGAAGCTCCCTAACATTTCCATGGCTTCATAAAACACTTCATAAAATCTATCTTTATCAATCTCACTGCCCTGGAAAGGCGTCCCAAAACCAACTCTATAAATCACATTTGCCGTGAGAGCAAGTAACTTCTGATTTAGATCAATAGGAGAACTGGTAGAAGCTGATTGAGCAATGACTTTCATCAGCGAAGCAACCTCTTCCTCTCTGATGAATCGAAAAGATTTCACTCTTGTGGTGCTAAAAATCTCAAGAACACAGATTTTCCTCAGCTCCCTCCAAGAGTCACCAAAGGGAGAAAAAGCCACATCAAGATAATCATAAGAAAGTCTTCCAGTGCCTGCCAAGCTGGGTCTACTGCAACAATCAAGATCATGAACTTTTATGACCTGTTTTGCAGTCTCCGCAGAAGAGACAACAACTGTTGAAACACCACCAAGCTGCAAGAGCATGACGGGTCCATATTTCTTGGACATCTGTGCTAGGGAGCGATGGCGCAATGAGCCCAATTGGTGCAGGTTACCAATAACAGGCAACTTAGGTGGACCAGGAGCAACTTAGGTCTCCTTGATTCTATTTTCTTTTTCATAAGAGCAAGCATAGTAAAGAGCAACGACAACAGAAGCCATCCTGAGATAAAGCTACCAATCATTGTGCAACTCTGTCTTCAAAATGCTTGCCTGTAAATACCTGTAATACTCCGCATAATACCCTGTCAATATAAGCTTGTATTTCTTAGGAACTAATTTTACACACTCTTCTCAAATGCAAAAACAACAAAAAAAGAAAAGAAATTCTTAGTTTCCTTCTATTAAGAGAGATAAGTATTATGTTAATGTTTCATTAATGTGCCTTGTTTGTAGTTAATTTATAGTTTTTTTTATTAAGCATTATAAGAACAGAAGTTAATCATATTAACTACAGTAATTAAGTGAACGATCTATTAATTTAATATTTTATTTTTTTATCTACTTATAATAACAGGTGAAAATAATTAAAAATATATTTAAATAATAAATAACAGTTATAAATAAAAAAATACATTGATGAAATGAGTAACTTTAAAAATAAAATTACTGGTTTCTCATAAATCTCTTATTGATTTCTGCATTTTTATTAGTGAATCTCTTTTATCATATAAAATATAGAAACAGCAAATTGTTTCATGGTTCTCTTCCGAAATTGAGTATCGTGCTCTTATTGTTGTTACATATGAGTTAGCGTGGTTGGGTTATTTAATTCATGATTTGTATGTTACTTATTTGTAGACTGTATTAATTTATTGTGATAATTTTTTTACAATTAAAATTATTGAGAATCCATTTTTTCATTAGCGTATAAAATATATTAAGATTGACTGTCACGTGATTCAATAAAAGATTACTGAATGACTTATTTCGTCGTCTGGTCACTTGGTTGCTCATTTTACAAAACTCTATCTTCTTCCCAATTTCATGATGCAATATTCAAGATGGATATTCAAAATTTGTATACTTCAATTTGAGGGGTCTATTAGAATATGTGGTAATCTTGTAATTTTACAAAGTATGAGATTTTTTATATAATTTTATTTAACTTTGGGGTGCTTATTTAAATAATCATAGGTTACCTTTGTATAAATAATGTAATCTCCCTCGTTTAATGACAAGTCGATATTTTCTTCCCCAAATTGCTCGCGAGCATATTCTTTTTCGTCCTAAATTTCATCCAATTGCTGTGATTTCATTGTTTGTTTACACTCAAACAGTTTATAAAATAATTATAAACTATTTTAATGGCTAAATTATTTTTAAATGATATGTAATTATGATTCTTTTTTATTTTCTTAAAATGTATTAAATTCAATAAAAATGGATAAATTAACTCCTACATCAAATTTTTTATAAATCATATTCGAACTCATCTCAATTTTTCTATGAATAAATTTAGAACCATTGTAGTTTTACCAATAACTTTTCAGTAATGAAGAAGCAACATTTTCATAACCAATGAACTGGTAACTTCTACTCCTACTAATCTGGCTACGAGTTTTGAGCAGAGATGTTCGTTTATTTTTCTCGCTGACAAAACCATTTTGGCACCAGATCTACTTAAAACTATACCCAAACAGATCATTTAGAAAGAAAAGTCGAAATAATCAATAAAACTGATGAGCGTAAACTCACAGAAATTTGAGGCTGAACTGCAAAATGCAAAGCGGAAGGAAGAAGAGTAGTATGAATTCTTTAACAACTTCGAAATAGCGAGCGAGCGAGCGAGGGAGTGAGAGAGAGAGATGGGCTTGCTTGGTTCGTCTCCTGCTCCAGTCCTCCAGTTCTCACATCTTTTATAGAGCAAACACAGACAAACATCATTATCATAAATACTGTTTCACCACGAAATTAATCTACCGAAACAGGACACTGTCTCCTAGCCAATTTCCTATCTTGTCCACATCCACGCGGTATACGTGGTGTTAGATCCGTCAATTAATACTGCAAAGTCATAGTACAATTTTCAATATATAATTAATCGTCTTAAAGTCAAGACAAAATCAAATCAAATCCTAATTACTCGTAACCATCATCAATTTCTTATGTTCTAAAATAATAATGAAACTTCAACATCGACCTTCAAAAAATTGACATATCACGTTTTTCATGCATGGAATATTAAATTAGTTATCCAACACATGAAACTTATGAATCCATTCCCAATCATCATTTTCAACTTAATTCGATTATAATTGAAAATGTCTTATTTTCTATAAAAACAAATCGCGGGTTCAAACGAATTATGTTCTCGCGACCAAATCCCTCTTGATAATTTAAGGCAGTAATATTTTTTTCTCCCATTCGGAACATTGCCACATCTTCTTTCCTTTGGAAATTCGCCTCACTAGTTGTGTTTTTTTTTTTTGCTGACAGATACTTGGAAAGTTGCGATTCCTATTCAGATATTACTCCGCAATGGTATGAAAAAATATCAATAAATACAATTTCCAGGAATCAACTTTCACTAATAACTTCTTTTTTAGAATTTTAATAATCGATCATACAAATTAACTTCATAAATTTTTTAGCAGAACAGATGGAAATTCAATTGGTTTTAAAGAAACACGAGGATGCAATATGTATTAGATGACAAATATAAAATGCGAACTGCTCCATATTTGCTTTATATATATGGATGATGACATGAACTTACGAACAACTAGTTATAAGTGATTGGGACAAGCCTGAGATGTTCCTTCTTGTGGACAGTTAGACCAGCTGCTTCCTCTGTGCTGATATCTTCCTTCTTCATCCCCTGTGGCAATTCCCAATCGAAACAGTACAAGAGATTAGCAAGTGCAAGCTCCACCATAACTGCCCCCATGTATACACCGGGACAACCTCTTCGTCCTCCACCAAATGGCAACAACTCGAAATTCTGCCCCTTGAAATCAATTGAGCTATTTTGAAACCTTTCTGGAATGAATTCCTCAGGGTCTTTCCAGATATTGGGGTCCCGTCCAATTGCCCATACATTAACTTGGATTCGAGTTTTTGGGTATATAGTGTACCCACTGATCTTAAATTCCGTCATGGCCTCTCTTGGAATTAGAAGTGGACCTGGAGCATGCAGTCTGAAAGTTTCTTTCACCACTAACTGCAAGTATTCAAGCTGATCTAATTCCTCTTCACGGACTTTTCCTCTGTTTCCAATCTTCTCTCTAATTTCAGCTTGCACTTTCTTCATCACTCTTGGATTTCTAATTAGTTCAGTCATGGCCCAAGTCATGGTAAGTGCAGCAGTGTCTATTCCAGCAAGAAAGACATCCTAAGGCAGTATACAAGTATTAGAAGCAAGCAGATTATAATTATGAAGCATATACATGTATGCGCATATCCTTCTAAATCATGTTTACTACATGAATATGAATATATATATATATATATATATATATAATCAAAGCAACATCTCTCTGCAGCCTG